TTAAAAAAAAATATCATATAGTACATAGAAAATAAGTGAAATAGAAAAATATGCCTAATAAAATTCACATTTAAATAGGTGGATTCCGGTGGATTCCGTTTGATACACTGTGAGGGTGGATACCACGTTGTCTTTTAGCAAGCCAATAGAATGTGGAATACCACAAGGCTAGGCCCTATTTTGTTTCTTCTTTTTATTAACGACATTGTTAACATAAATATCAGTGGTAAATATGTCTTTTTAGGGACGACACTACCTTCACTTGGAGCAACAAGGACGCTACGGCACTTCATAGGGTTATATCAAATGACTTAATCACCATTAAATCTTGGTGCGATTCGAAGCTCCTGAATCTCAAAATTTCTAAAACTAAAGCTTTGTCGTATAAAAACTCGCTGCAGCCTTTTGTACTTAACAACACTACCATTGACGTCGTAAAATATGTAAAATTCTTAGCGATTGTTGTAGACAATTCTCTGAAATGAGACATGTATAATGTATATCGACGCTTTGTTGAAAAAAATTAAGCTCTGCCTGTTTAGATCAAAAATACTCCAAAAAAGTTCGTGCTGATGAGTATGTTTATTTGGAAACTACATGGTAATTATATCAAGGATAAGCGAAGGAAAATCTAAGATTTTCTTTGATTTAAGTAAGAACAACCTTCAGATTGTCATAGGATTTCTAACAGATCTCATCAATGAACACTTCAGTAGATTGAAGCTAAAAAACAACGGCGATTGTAGACTCTGTGTGGAAAATGGGGAAACAACATAACACCGCATCACTGAGTGCACCGAGACGACAACCATTCATGCCATAAACTTTGGTACAACTGATATCGAAGATTGAGAACTAACTTATGTAAAATCCTCTCAGATACTGGCTGAGATTGTATCACGAGTTATAACTCAAGAAAGGGGAACAGAGTAGATCTGTGAATTTGCAGTGTGTAACAGTGTTTGAACAACAACGTGAAAAAAATACCATTGTTAATATTACCTAACAAAGTTAATAAAACTCAAATAATCTAAAATATACTTGTAAGCTTTATTCCCTTTTTTCTTTCCTGGAAAGATGCAAACCATATTTTTTCGTCGCTTCGGTAAAAGTCTTTATGGAAAATGGCATTAAATATGCACCTCTTTTGCGTTCGGAAAAAAGAGACTGTGCGCCATCTGGTGAAATATTAAGTGGCCAAGAGGGATATTCCCCTGACGGGTCGAAGAAAAAATATTATGGAAATTTCCTCATTCAATTGCTTTTCGACGAAAAGGTTCGCATCGGACTGGTTTAAGTGCCCCTTTCTCCTGCGAATCAGTAAAAGCCGATGTACGTCTTTGTGTTTAACGCTCAATCAATCAAACCATAAGCAAGGGACCGACAGAGAATCGCGGAACTCCATCTTTTTATTAAATCCGAAGCGTTTTAGCTTCGAATATACATAAGTAAACAAAATCCTTTTTGCCTTAGGCTGCATAATCGGCCTACTAAAAATTAAATTTTGGATTATTAAAAAATGCGATAATTTAAACCTTCTTAGGTTACAGTTGAGAGGAACCCTTGGTTACTTTGAATGTGGTAGACAATGATTCAGTATTAAGACTAAAATAATTACGGACTTATCAACTATCCTAAAACTACTGAGCTTATATACTAAAGCCGAGTGAATTTGTTGGGTGCAGTCAAGCATTAGGTATTCCACTAAGAATAACTGCATTGGAGCGTTTTATGAGTGGTTGCCATATTGTTGAAATTTCCATACTTCGATTGTTAAAGATTTTATTATTGTTAGAAATAAATACGGCCTCTTTAAATTTGCGCTTTTTCCAATGGGGTTCTTTGTGGACAACCCGGGCTTCCGACCAATTTATGTTGTGGTACTTGGACCACTCATGATCTGCAATGCCCGACTTCATTGTTTCACCTCTTTGCGTATGTTTTTTATGTTCATCAAGTCCTACATCTAGAGGACGTTTTGTCTCTCCAATATATGCCTCACCGCACTTGCAAGGCACCTGGTAGATGCACTCTTTCTCTTGGTGTGGTGATTCAGGTTTTGTTTTTGTTAGGACACTTCTTAGAGTAGTCCCAGACGCATCCTCCTCAGGCTGGCGTACCAATGAGTCGGACTTACAATTGGATATAATATTGTCTAGGGATTTTGCAGCAAATTGGTTTTAATATTATTTAGTTCAGAATTCAGAGATTCTTGGTCACTGCAGATAGTGATAGCCCTATAATATAGTATTTTAATTATACCTCTTTTGGTTGCTTCAGAATGGTTCGACTAAGAATTTAAATATTGTCCCATATGTGTTGGTTTTCTATATACAGCAGTGTGTGCTAATAGATCTGTCGCTTCTAGTGACAAGAACATGCAGAAACGGCAGACAGAAGTTTTTTTCTTTCTCAATCATGAATCTAATTGAGTTATTTCGTGAATTAAGATGATTGAGCAAGGAATCCAACTGTCCATCGGTTCCGTTCCAGATTATAAAGATATCATCAACATATCGAAGCCAGATTTTGGGTTCGATAAGTTCGAACCTTTGGTGTTACAACAGCAAACTAAAGATTTTGTTTTCAATTTAATAACAACTTTTGTGAACAGCGGGAATGTATGACAATCCATTGTCTCCTTTTTTGACGAATTTGTTTTAGGTATGTGGATGATATATTTGCCATTTTTGACACAAATTCTGACACCATAGATAATTTTATTTCTATATTAAATAATCGGTTTCCTCCATTTAAATTTACCTGAAATTGTGAATAGTAAACAGCAATGTTATTAAAGTTGTGACAGCATATATAGTGGGGCTTTAGTAGCATTACAGGTACGAAGAGTTTCGATGCGGAAGGTGTGATGACGTCTAATTACAATAAATGGAATTTGACAATTTAATTCACTCCAGAGACATGAACAGCCTATTATGCTGTTGGATATTTTAAATAGAAGTATTAATGAGGGGCGAAGCCGCAGCTCTCTGAGTGATGAAAAGTTCCACCTGTGAAGCAGCAATTGCTGATCTGTACCTCGTTGTGAGTCATCAGCCAAATGTAATTTGAGAAATCTACGGTGAATATATTACCCAGACGTTGAATGTGTATTTCGTATATCGGTGACCATATTACAGATGCGTATTCTAATCGTAATAGTATAAGCGAATTATACAGAATAGTGAGGCAAGATCCTACGGTTTTGGTTGCTGATTTTATTTATACATGTAAACACCGAGATCCTTTGCAACTTATCTATCAAGTATATGTGGCTTATTACGTTACTTCTTTGAGTACAGTGATCTCAATACTACAATAATAACAATATTAACAGTATGAAATATTTTTAATTTGTCTGCAAATAATAAAGCTCGACAAGACATTTTCTTTATAATTTTATTTAGAAGAATTTACACTTGATCAGTGATGCATCTCACCGAAACGTTCTGTAAATTAAATAAAAATATAGACAATGAAAGTTCCAAATTCTGTGAGTATCAAATTTACATGCCTCCGACTTTGGCATCCAATCAATTGACTAAAAACCAGAACGGTTGAAACTTTGAATTTATCGAGTAGGGACCAAAATAGGTAAATAAATTTGTTTTGCTCTGTTTCTTTCCTCAGCGAAAATCTATTAGAGTTAAATGGAAACTCGATAGAGAATAGTTCCATTTATTAGGAAGGGTTTCTACCCACTAATTTTGGATTAAGGGTTTCCAGTGCTCCAGTATCTCGCCGAAAATAAAGACAATCAATACAGAATGGAATGTAATGTAAGAGCCCGATGGGTGGTGTTAGAAAACCGAAAGAGTGTTTCTCTTTCAAACTTTATAATTTAAGTTTGAAGTACCATATGGATGATTCTGTAACCAAACTTTTATTTTCTCACGATAAATAAAGACATGTTTTTATTATAGATTCATAACATTTCAATCTGCAGCTTGGAAAAATGCTTAATGATATGTACCTGACAAAGTTCTTGTCCTTAAGTAAGGAGCAGCATATTTGTGGATGCAATTCTAATTCTGTAGTTAAATTCATTTGGTGTTCATTTAAAGTATCTGCTCTGCAATAAACCTAACAAATTCGCCCAATTATGGATTGCGAAAACTCAAATTATGCTTCTTTCCGTATACTTTAAACACAGGCAAGTAATCAAAAAGCAATTTTAACAAATACATTTTTAATGTAGAAAAATGGCATAGACGTACCTTTTTTCATAAAAAATTAAAAGCTACTGCTTTAATAATTATCCACTGAACAATAATTAGCCGACATATCAGGTTACATTAAGTAAACAAGCCACAATAAGATTCATTTCGGCCTAACCCTTGTAAGGGCATATTCTATTACAAGAACTTATTTCTGCTAGACTAAACAAAATAAGTCGTGAACTTGATTTAAATAATCTTGTTGATAATGGCAAATTTTTATAAATTTAATTATATACATTAGCAATATTATTAATTAATTAGTTTTAAGTATTTAATATTTTTTAAAAAATATATAAATATAAGAATTATAAAATTATATAAGGATTCTTGCCACTTAACTGCTAATATAGAAATTTAATTCTATGCTGTGTTTGTCATAATGCGGATCAACCTGCTCTCACTACCGGTTTCGGAGCCCTACTCCATCATCAGGTGAGCTTATTCAGGTAGCATCAGGTAGCGTAGAATTAAATTTCTATATTAGCAGTTAAGTGGCAAGAATCCTTATATAATTTTATTATATACCTGTACTGCAAGAAATTTGTTTTCTATTTTATAATTTGGCTTGCCTGGAAAAAAGCCTTTTACCATCCTTTTATGTTTCTTTTATTGAGGACTACAAGTCCTGAATATATTTGCACTTATTTAAGACTCACCCTGTATATCTATACTGATATGTAATATCAACAAATGATAAATAGTGATAACAGTTCCAATTTTGATAATTTCAGATAACATTTTCATTCATAATAACTGACTTTTGCCAGTTGAATTTGACATTTTCATGTTAACAGATATTATAAAAAAAATTATTGATAACGAAGTGAGCTGGTAAATTTAAACAAAGTAACAAAATAAGCTGGCAAGTTTTATTTTTATTTCTTTTTCTACAAAATATAGTAAAAATATAGACATATAATTATTTTCCTAGTTATCGCCGAAATCAATATTAATAAAATATTTTTTTAAATAAAATATTTCGATTTATTTTTGAACGATCTTCCTAATCTAAAATAATTCATATTTCCCAATAATATTACATATGTATATAATAAGATGAGAAAGAACAAATAACATTAAAGAATCAAAAGTTAAAATAACATACTTTAATTTCTGTATTAACACTACAAATTTCACACAAACATTGTTTTTAAATTATACATATTTATTGACCTCAGTCATTGTAGCTGAAATGGATGTGCTGAAGTTTTAGTATAATAATGTACTTTTTCTTCTCTTTTTTAGTTTTATATTGAATTTATATTATAATTAACAAATAAACCGAAATCACAGTGTCATAAAAACGTTTTCACCGATTATTCGGAGAATAATTTATTGTATACAATAGTTCGACAGAATTCTAATAATTTTTACTAGTGTTCTAATAAGTTCTATGGATTTTAAATAACAATATATTTTAGACTTATGAGAGCATTAAATAATAGTGATATAGAAAGTCCGAAAGTCAGTGTTTCGAATCCTAAACGTCAACTTGTAAAATTAAACATGCTATTTGGACAATGAGAAAAAAGTGAAAATGGGAAACTGGATATTATTTTCACGTATTACTCCAGTTAACTATAAAATTTTAGAACCAAACTAAAAATCTTGTTTATTTACACTTCTTTGTCGATACCAGTCAATAAAATTGATATTCTATTTTTAATTGGAAATATTTTTTTTTCACAAACTTTATTTTGAATTTAAATTTCATATTTATTTATATAAAAGCCACAACATTTCAGTCCGTGCAACAACATTATTGTCAACTAGTTTATTAAACATGTTTTATTCTAGAACCAGGCAATTATGGCTTCCCCAGAAAAAATAAAGCAATTAGATGATGCTGTCCGAAATACCAACTATGAGAGAATGTTGGAAGTTCTTGAACATACTGATTTATCTCAAATAAATCAATCTGGTACAGATGGTAAGAATTAGATATATACCGTACGATTAAAACGTTCTATGTTAAGCGGATTTTGATGCATATGAATTTCTTCGACGCATTAATTGCCTTGGATATAGTAATGAAGCTTCTTCGATATAGTACTCAGAGTATCTAAAGTTTCATTTACATTTTTCACTCTTAATAATATACTTGGAGGAATTATCCATAGTGTTAGTATATATTTTCAAAAGGGAAAACATGAGATGAACAATGAAACAATTTGATCCCCCGAACAACTTTTGAATGAAGAGTCGTTTCTCGATTGAATGATTTTTTTCACAGTGAAGGTTTTTCTGAAGATTTATTCTAAGTGTAAAATGTAAACAACCGCGTCTTCATTTTTAGTTCGCTATAAAGAGACGAATGTTTCTCATAGTTTTGGGATTACCATTGGTATTTTTAAATTTAAATTTGTCTTTTAGCATCAATTGCTTTAATAACCCTTATTCGCCATGGAAAACACATGTCATCGGAATTTTACAAATGTGTGCAATTGCTAATCGACAAGAATATAAATATCAACTTGAAGGACAAAGATAACAGGAGAACAGCATTATCATGGGCCGCAGAAATTTACATAAACGAACAAATGCGTAAAGTTAGACTATTGGTAAGTTTGACTTGTGTTTTTTTTATTGAAATGTAGACCCTGCTTGTCGAAAAGTACCGAATGGAAAATTCATAATTTGTCTTTTTTTATTATTCAAGTATGAAATAAAAAGTTAAACTAAATTATTTCAATATGTTCAATAACAAAGCAAAATCATTATAACATGTTATGTGGCAATTTAGAGTAATAGATAGCAAATTAAAATATCTTATTTACTTATGCAAAAAGTAAGGCTAGATGAAAAAATACCGAAACCTCAAAAAGAATAGTTTAAATTCATTTCTATTGTCATGTGCCAATTTTACAACAACAACAATTAAACATAAATTATCTTTCACGTATATATTCATAATATAAAAAAGCAAATATGTTAATCAAAATTCCTAACGTAGTATTTTTTTTACTTTCTCGTAGTAGAATTACAAAGCTACAAAAATATGATAATTTTAACACCTGCCTTGTTACAATGACCTATAATGACACAAAAATATTAAAAAAAACTCGCACGTTCAATAATAATAATAGTTCCCGTATATAGCACTTGACGCCTCGCCTTGGGAGTAGCAAGGTACAGCTTGAAATACTAGAGCCGTTCGGTATACAAGGAAGGTAATGTGGCTAGCACTACGCTTCAACCGCCTATTATTACCTCAGGATTGTGAATCCCAAGTATTTATTTAAGGCTGAGTCGACCTAGGTACCCAAAATATTTTTATTTTATTAAAAATAGTCGTATTACAGTCGTATCGCATAGTCGATGAAATGCCGGCTGTAGGATTCGAACCCACAACCTTTGAATTGGTAAACGAGAACTGTACCTCTACGCTACCGGGCACCTTCAAAATTCCTAATTCCACTCTCACGTTCACAATTTTTCTAAGACATTTCGAAAATATTTGATATTTTGTTTTATAACAAAATAATGTGTTGAAATTTTTCGTTTCTATTTAAGAAAAACTTTATTTTTATCATATTTTTGTACTTATATGGATAAACGTTATATAACAGTTTTCCAGAAAGAACTGACAGATGAGAATGAGATTACTGTAAATGAGTTGGCTGTCACAAATCATAAATTAAAACAATTGAGAATGACAATAGAACTGTTTGAAAAAGAATTAGGGGTAAGGATAATTATGTGAAGTACGTAAAGCATTTCTGTAGTCCTATTCACCTTTAATTAAATAGACAACAATAATTATAATCAATCATTAACTGATTTTGTAAAAAAAACACGATGTAGTATAATAAATATTATTAATGGATATTATTAGAAGTATTTTATAGATTGTTCATCCAAAGTCTAGTTCACGATTTTCCAACCGTTCTAACCTGTGTGAACGGTTGCAAAAATGTCAAGAAGAAGGAAATAGAAATTATATATCAGGTATAAATAAATCAGATACCATAGATGTAGATGGTACTAAATATAACGCATTAGAGTTATGTTTTAAAAATAAGTGGCTTATACCAGCAGCTTATATTTTTGACAAGTATGATGCTGATAGCAAAATAACTGTCTGGGTAAGTAAATAAAGAGTAATGAGAAAAAAAAAACAGATAATTCACTTTTGAGCAAAAATAATTAAATATGATAATAATGTTGATAAAAGTTAGTTTAAACCCAATATAAGTCTGTTTCGAAAAAAAGGTGTATCCGTCTTTCAAAGTTCTTTTAATGGTATAAGGTTTATCTGAAGATACTGTAACGGAATTGCTAATATTTTGCAGATCATGCAGATCCATTTTTGGATTTATTAAAAAACGTTTTGCATTATAAAAATAAAATTTTTATTTTTACTAACGCGAAAACAGATAAAACCATTCTGTAATTAGGAGTATATTATATATATTAACAATGAGAAAAAAAAAAAAGATTATTTACGACATCTATATCATATCTTTCTCTACGATAACAAAACATTAATTGAAATCTGTTTCCACAGCCTCGATAGAATCAAAAAAATATTTCCGTCTTTCTGTACTAGCGTCTGGGTTGACTTCGATCGCCATAAAATCAAAATTCAAAAAAAATATATAATTTTTTACACCCAATGCATTTGATTTTTCAGAGAGAAAATGAAAAGGAAAATCAGGATAAAATACTTGAACTAATTTTACGAGAGGATGAAGGGATTCCGCAGTTATTATGCACTATTCTGAAAAAGTTCCAACAAAAAAGTAATCACTATCCGGCATGTTATAGGAAGATAATGGATGTTATCAAGAATAAAAATCTGAATGATCTATATTCAAATCTGAATGGAAAAGACTTTCTATTTAGAACCCCCCTGCATTACGCTATTAGGTAAAATAAATCTTTCATATATCATACAAGAAAGGTTGTAGCACAGAATATCTAGCTAGTTGTAGCATATGGGTGATTTATACCTAAGTCAACATATTGGTAATTTTTTCTTACAATTATTCTACTAAAGTATCGCTATAATAGTCAATTTTAGAACAACGATTTGTTAGACAAAAATCGAAAGATATTTTTTTGCTATAACTTTCGACTGTATCTTATACATGTGTCTATATAGAAGGCTTATACAAAGAACTAGTGGAATACGTTCATGAGGATAGTATTTGTTTAAAAAAAAATATTAACCTGTTGATAAAATATATGACTGAAAGAAGCAAATAATACAGAATATACAACAAATAAAATCAACAACAGAACATTTTCAATATACAGGGTGGTCCGACCTAAATTCCGAAAACTTCGGCAGCATCTGCAGATAAAAAAAGACAAAAAGTTCGTATAAATGTATGTCCTAAAATGCTTAGTTTCAGAGATACAGGGTGTAGAAGTTTAATTTTTATTTCGATTTTTTCTAAAAAAAAAAAATAATAATAATAATAATAAAAAATAATAAATAATTTCTGAAGTCAATATTTAGATGAAGATTGGTTTCTGGGAGTTTTTTGACTTGAGAAATTTGATTTTGATGATCAAAAAAATGATGGTAAAACAATTTCTGTTGAACTTTTGGCACAAAAAAATTCAAACTTATGATTTCAGTCTACTAACTATTTAGACAACATGTTTAATTTATGTCAAAGACGACAGGTATTGATAATTTCGATTCTAAATATCTCGAGAACCGTTACTCGTAGAGATTTTTATCTAGAAACCTTTTTTACGTAAAAAAACATCGTAAATATACATTTTTTTACTCAGTAGTTTTATACAGGTACGGACGAAAAGTTATTACTCTTCAAACCAGTTAAAATATAAGTGGCGCCTTCTACAAGTAGGGGTCATATTGACATCAAAATCAAATTTCTCATACCAAAAAACTGCCCGACACCAATTTTCATCCAAATATTGACGTCAGTTCAAAAATTATGTGGAAAAAATCGAAACAAAAATGAATCTTCTACACCCTGTATATCAGAAACTAAGCATTTCATGATATACATTCATACGAACTTTTTTACTTATTTTTATTTGCAGAATATGCTACCGAAATTTCCGGGATACAGTTCGGACCACCCTGTTTACATTCAATTCACTTTCTAGATATGCTGATGATCTGACTGTCGTAGAACTATTGAGCTATGGTGCATCATTAGGCTCGACGAATATATCAGGTAAGGTGCTAATTGAATTTATAAATAGTTATTAGAAATAACACAGATAACATATAATTTATGTTATCTGTGGAAATACATAGAACGAATTGTGTTGAAGTTATATAAAGTCAGAAATCTGATGAACAGTTTCAATGATTTATTTTCTATACATCATTGCAGCTCCTGTACAAAGAAATAATTGTTATAAATACTGGAGAATGTTTTGGAGAACGATTTACGGTTGGTGTAAATGTTGCAAATGTAAAAACACAAAACAAAATATGCAGAAAGACGATATTTCACTAAAGTTATTGAACTCTGAGCAAGACGACAGCTCAGAAGAAAATGTGATGATATAGACGACAAAACATGATAAATGAGTAAACAAATGTACGAAAAACAGTTGTATACAAGGTGACCTATTTTTATAAAAAAGTTCCATATCTATTTAATTCAAATATATTGTTATACCAAAGTTGCTCTATAATTTTTTGCATAATGCATTTGACATAAAATACCTATTCCAAAAATATCATGTCATAGTCTATAGCTACTTAGTGGTTTTTTAAATACGACCAATTTTGACTTTTTTCTACACATTCATAGCTCTATCACAGTGAAAAAAATCGCTAATTACCTATTGGTGTTTCCAGAGGGCCCAAGGCGAACGACACTTTGTATTGAAATAAAATGTTGTGAGCATATACCATCCTGGCAAGCCAAACCTTGGGTCGGCATTTACATGTACTCGTATAGGAGTGAATCACTTTTTTTTTGTAGAAATTTAAAAATGTGAACTTATAACTTATAAACATACAGAATGTGGATAACATAGAAGGTGGTAACATTGAATTCTCTCGAAGCACTATAAACATATTATCAAACTGAACAAATGGCACTCAAAAGTGTTTCAATTCTTTCCATCAGAAGATTTTCAGACACAGAAGAATTGTTACTTACACGAAATGCGAAAATATTCTGTTTTCAAGCAAATTTTTACTCGATTATTATTTTTTTTATTTTATTTTATTTTGAACTCATATTTTCCTAAATACATCTTTGGGAAACTATGGCGAGTACCACGACTATACTTTGCCTAGTTATAGATCTCGACTATACAGCTACATCAGTAGTCACGTGACGCGAGAACAAGATCAAATAAAGTGGCAGAAAAAGAACAAAGGATTTGACAAGGAGTAAAACTACTTGTTTCTTTATGCTATGATACTACCAAATAAAATACTTGCATTTATTCCTGAGACACCGTTATTATAGGATTTTTCGCTGAATTAAAGTAGATAAGTGTAATTAATATCTAAGCAGGGGGGGGGATAGAGAGTATTTAGTTTTAAAAAACTTTATATTTAAAAATCCTAATTTTCAATAAGACCGATAAGCTCATCCATCAAGAAGCGAAAGCCGAATATTCCTCTCGAAAATATTATTGACATTTTCATTAAAAGTTTTCCGCCACGCATAGAAATACCGAACTTCGAGCTGACAATAATTATTTGATTTTAACAAATTCAGATGGCTTCGCTCCGACTTCTACGTCGCTGCCCTCATCCCGGTTATCCAAACCGCCCTTCTCCTTTTTCTTTCCATTAGGAGAGGGCAGGTCCCATGGGAAACGGCTGCACGTGACGTAAGATAAATTCGTGTTGGATAGTTGGCAGCTACGGCTGCGTGACCGCAACATGTGTCACCCCCTTGTTTTAGTCATTAACACCGAAAAAGTGAAAATATCCAGATGAATTTATTTTATTTGGAAAGTTCAGCTATTCGTTAAAAGTATAAAGTTCAGATATTTGTTAAATCGTATTTTTTGTGAGAATTGTATAAATAGTTTTACGAAAAAGTATTGAATAATTAAACTGGCCTAAAAATTTATATTTAGAATTTCGGGGTGGGGTCATGATAAAAATATACTCATCATTTAGTACTGTTGTATGTGAAATTTTATAACACAATTAAATATATATATTGGCTTAATAGAGTATAGCCAATTCCCCCCTAAACTATGGAAACGTCTTTCAAGATACGGCCCTGAGTCTCCGGCAGCTCAAACTCCCTCGACTATGGTAGCGGCCGAGTAAGGAAAAGAGCAGGGGGTGCTAAGAATCCCCGGAGTGGACCAGGCTACCTTAATAGACGAAAACTGCATATTGCTACTTTTAACGTTCAAACCCTGTCAAGGGATGAGAAATTATTGGAATTGGAGGAAGAATTACAACATATAAAATGGAATGTTGTGGGTCTGAGTGAGGTAAGAAGAAAGACCGAAAAACAAATAGAATTGAAATCTGGGAACCTTCTTTATCATCAGGGAAATAACGAATATACTCTGGGCGGTGTAGGCTTTCTGATTAACAAGAGACATATTAAGAACATCGTAGACATTGGAAGCATCAGTCCTAGAGTCATCTATCTAACCCTTCGTTTGAATAACCGTTACTCTATAAAAATTGTACAAGTCTACGCCCCAACGTCAAATAGCACCGAGAAAGAAATAGATATTTTTTATGAGGACGTCTCCAAAGCTCTATCACTCAAATCCCAATTTACAATATTAATGGGTGATTTTAATGCTAAAGCTGGACAAAAGGAAGTTGAAGCAGAAATATTTGTGGCTACATATGGTTATGGTGAAAGAAATAAGAGAGGAGCGAAAATGATTGAATTCACGCTGCAAAATGGACTATACGTAATGAACACCTTCTTTAAGAAACATCCAAATTGAAAATGGACCTGGGCAAGTCCAAACGGAATTACCAAGAACGAAATAGATTTCATCATGACTGATAAAAATGGATAATTAGAGATATACAAGTACTGTACAACGAATTCTCTATAGGAAGTGACCACCGAATAGTTCGAACTAGAATTGATTAAAGATAGAGATTCAACCTAGATTGAACCTTAAATCTGAACGACGAAAAATGATAAAGAAGAGGACCACGAGAAAATGGGTAACACCAAAAAAGCCAGAAGAATATAGAGCAATGGCAGCTGAAAACTTAGGAAATCTGGAAAGAATGGAAAATATGGAGATTAAAGATATAAATAATCACATTGAAACTATTTTAACGCAAGCTATTAAAGAAAATTGTCCTTAAAAAGATAATCAGGGAAACACAAAACTAACCCAAAATACTAAAGATCTGATAAAACACCGTAGAGTTATGACAAACAAACACTCAGATGATTATAAGGAAAGGCATCAGAACCTACAATACCAACAAAATAACGCAACTCATTGAGAGAAATCAAGGATTAAAAGTTTTCAAAAAAGAGGCAAGCATAGGGAGGGCACTAATTCATAAGTTGCAAAACGCAGAAGGACAGATAACATCAAATAGAGCAGATATTCTGCGTGTTACGGAAAATTTCTAGCAGCAGTTATATGACAACCCAAACCCTAGAAACTCGTATAGTACCATACCAACTGTGATGAATCAAGGCTCAGAAGAAATCCCAGATATTACTTTAGATGAAATATCGGCGGCAAATGTATGAAAAATAATAGGTCTGCCGGTGACGACAATATAGCTACTGAAGCAATTAAAGAAGGAGGAGAAAAGGTTCTCAAGGCAAATATTGTTCAAGAAATGTCTTTGGAAGGAAGAACACCATCAGAATGGGATAATGCCAATATAATCCTATTACATAAAAAAGGGGACAAAACAAACCTTACCAACTACCAGCCTATTAGTTTACTGAGCTACACGTACAAATTATTCACAAAAATCCTCACAAATCGTCTCTCCCTAAAACTAGAACAATATCAACTAAAAGAAGAGGCTGGATTTAGATCGAACTTCGGTACAAATGACAATGTGTTGGTGGTGAAGTCCCTAATAGAAAAATGTGTTGAGTATAATAAACCATTTTAATATTTGTCGACTACGAAAAGGCATTCGACTCTATCGATCAACACAAATTAATCAAGACCCTAGCCAAATGTCGTATAGATACCCGTTATACTAACCTTTTAAAATATATACACGACCATGCAACAGCATCTGTATCGCTACATGAAAACACAAATAAATTCCGTATTAAAAGAGGAGTACGGCAAGGCGATACCATTTCCCCCAAATTGTTCATAGCACTATTAGAATATATGTTCAAAAGAGTAAACTGGGAGGAAATGGGCATTAATGCTAACGGGGAAATGCCCAATAACCTGCATTTTGCTGATGACTTGGTGCTGATTACAGAAAAAATACACGAAGCACAAAATATGCTAGAAACACTTAAACGGGCGTCAGATCAAATAGGACTACGCATAAATTATTCAAAAACCAAACCAATGACCAATCTTGTTATTAGTGGAAATGTCTCGGTAGACGGAGCAAATATAGAACAAGTATATTGATATAAATATCTGGGGCACGAAATAACAATTGGTCTCGATAACCAGATACACGAGATTCAAAGAAGAATAGGACTAACATGGGCAGCATTGGGCAAACTAAGATATATGTTAAAATCAGATCTACCAATGTGCTTAAAGAGGAAGGTGTTTCATCAGTGCGTTATGCCAGTACTTACATATGGCGCAGAGACACTTACACTGAGGAAAAAGTCCATAGAAAAAATCCGTGTAGCCCAACGAGCTATGGAAAGAGCAATGCTTGGTGTATCTCTAAGAGACAATATACCCGGTACAGTTACAAAACAGCGTACACGAATAACAGATGCTATATATCTGCTTAAAAAATTCAAATGGAACTGAGCTGGGCATATTGCCAGAAGAACGGATGATAGATGGACCAAGCAAATACTAGAATGGCGGCCAAGACAGGATGCTCTCAGAAACAGAAGCAGACTTCCGACAAGATGGTCAGATGACTTAAAGAGATTTAGGGGAAACTGGGTCCAAGTGGCACAGGACCGAGAAGAGTGGAAAGATTTGAGGGAGGCCTACGTCCAGCAGTGGACACTTCAGGCTGGTTGATGATGATGATCAATCATCATCAAATCACTTTACATAATTCTAAGATATGAATAAATACATTTCGATAGTTTTAGAGATATTAATAAATAAATAAAAAAATATATATTTTTCAGCCTCTCTTAAAAAATTTATTACAAATACCAAGAACTGTCCTGAAATCAAAACGATATTAGATATTTACTGTAGATGGTATGTAGTTACTTTGCTATAAATATGGTAATGGAATATCATACAGGATGTTCAAAATTTTACGCCAAACTTTCTAAAATATAAAATAATTTTTCTTCGTTTTTTTAAATGGAACACCCTGTATATTAATTTTTCAAAAGATGGAGAATTAAAAAATGAACATTTTTTGTTTTTAGAGTATTTCAAAATATTTTGATGGTTTCGCAGATATTCGCGGTTTTATATTTCATATGGCATTTGCCATAGTAAATTTTTACCAAAGCCACCCAATGATTTTTCTCTCGTATTTTACCGTTGAGAGAGCCATATGAAATAAAACTG